AAAAATAAATATTTATGTTAATATAATAAAAAAAAATAATAATGTATTAATTAAAGATGTATTTAATAATGTACTAATTAATTTATTAAATGAAATAAAATAAACATATTTACATTGATACAATTAAATATAATAATAATAATAATAATAATAATAAACCCAAACATGTGACATGTGAATTGCACGAATTCCTGCCAGGCTCTAACAGTGTACTTTATTAACTTTGACTTAAATCTATTATAACATATGCCCTTGGTCTGATGTGAAATCTAGTTTCTTTCATGTTGATCAAAGGCTCCAATAAGCAGATGAACACGGCTGAATCAATCTGAGCGATATGGGGTCAGAATTCATAATAAACAGCCCATCAGAAACATCAAAGTATCTGTGCAGGAAGCTGCTGCTCGTGATGGCGTCAGGATTGGTTTTTTGGCAGCGTTACACCCATACATCAGAATTCAACACCAGCTGTCTTCACCTTCTCATCTTCACATATTTACGGGAAAACAACCTTTAAAATTGTCAGCCGTTGCCATCCTTTTCAAATGTCACATTTATCGGCTGCGCTCGTCTGCTTCTTGGCAGTGTTTTGAGTAAAGATGAGTCTAATAGATTGGGCCGTTTTTTGATGATTTTATCATGTATGCATGAAGGTTTTGAAGCAGAAGTAGAATGATGCTTGGCAGGCCAAATGCAGCATGGGAAAAAGATCATTTGATGGACAATAAATAAATCAAATCTCAGGAGTCTGGGTATGATCAGTGTTTTTAATCAATTTAACACACATTCACAGCTAAACGCACATGCACATCACACACACTGCAAGATGATCCATCTCTCCCCATCACCCTGTTTCACCCGGAGAACAGATTACCACTTCATGTGTTACTATTATCCACCTCTGCTCAAACAAGTTCACGCTTAAGAGACTCGCAGCTACTGGTTCAAATATGGCAACCTGTGGTTTCTCGTGGCTTTCAGAGTAATACAGGAAGCAGGAATGTCTTTAGTAGCTCAACAGAACCTAAAATCAATGCAAAGGCCCTTCATTGTGCCAAACGTCCTTTTTGCAATCTCGCTTGCGGGCATAAAAAGGCACTACTTTTCAACATACCTTCTAAGCTATATTGTTATACCATCATGCATAAATTAGGGCTCAATAAAGATTTTTCCTGCTGGATATGTACT